CAGCGCCGGCGATAACTCAGCGCGCCCCTGCCACGAGGTCTCGTGCCATCAGCAAGCGGCTAACGTACCGGTACACGTAACAGCGCTGCAGGCACTCCTCAAGGACAACAATAAAAAAGCAAAATGGACGAGAGCAACTGTCCTAACACAATGCCTTGGAAGCAGTTCTGTATTATTTTCATTCTCCAAGATGCAGTTACAAATATATGTTTAAATGTTTCCACCTTTTTAAAAACTGAAAATAGAGTTAAGAATTGAGGCAGAGTTTTGCCAGCTTGTCATCAGTTGAAGACCCACACTCAACTCTAAAACACAAAATGTTTAGACATAAGCACTAGAAAATTTAGACATAAGTTTAGAGTTTAGAAGCTTAGACGTAAGCAGCATGACACATATAGGTTAAATGGTCAAGACTATCCTGAGGCAATGAAATACTAGAACAAGATTTTATGAAATGTAGGTATTTTTAACAGTTCACAGTGGAGAAGATATGTGCATTATCCGCATAGAGGTGGCAAAAAAATAATGTAAAGGCATTCAGAGGAATTACATCAAGCTCTTTAGGACTAAATACTACTGTGAGCACAGAGGAAAATCAGAGGCATGTTCTATCTGCTTTATACTGCTCCCAAATCCAGCCTCCTTGTTTGCAGATTATTCCTTCAGCGTATGGAAATATGCAGATGGGATTTTGCCACCTCTACTGGCTCCAGACTACTCCTGACTGCAATCCTACTGCAGACTTGCTGGGCAGCTGAAGAAGGACCAGAGAGGGCCCTAAGACTAATTATGTGATGCCCAGCTAGAAGACATAAGTTAATCCAGTTTAACAAGAAATGACCCAGAGCTTCTCAAAAACGCACAAAATTTTGCTAACCTGTGGATTAAGCAATCACAGAGCCAGAGCAAGCTGCAAGATATGTACACACAGGCAGATGGGTGGGAGAGATGAAGGATAGATAGCCAAGAAAATAAATGCCGAAGAGTCAAGTTTGCTGCTACTTCTGTCCATTGGATAATGGTAGTATGGGCTGCTGCTGCCACAGCAAGTCACAATATTTGACAGCAACTGACATCTCCAAGCCCCAGTCCTTCCTTCAGTATCCCTTCAAAGCAGCCTTGCACGTAGCTCTGAAGCTTCCACTAACTGTACAATGGTCATGGCAGCACCAAATGTGCACTATCACTTTGGTTTCCCAAAGTAATAAGCACTTAAAACACACATTAATGTGCCTAATAATAGCTTTTAAGACACTTATTTATTTAAAAAATATATACAGAGTAATATATAGTGTAAAATACCATGAAAATTTTAAATACTCACTTGGTGCTAATTTATGTTAAAGTTTGCAGTAAATGAAGCAAGAAAGTTTACTGCTAGCTCTAAGAGTTTCCTCAGAAGCATCAATGGCACACATGCAATTGCATCACTGGCATTACATTGGCATCCTTTAAGTTTTGATGAACTGTCCTTATAAGCAAAGTGCAAGTATTGAGAACACTACAGCTTTAGAAGACGGCAAGTCTAGAAGTGTTCTGTGTGGTATGTCACATACCTGGAATTCTGCACGGAATAATCTTATGCAGTCAGCTATAAAAAGATGGAGGCCCCACTAAGCTTTCAAAGTTGCACCTGGCTGAAAAAAATGTCCTAAGGGTAAACATCATTCATTAATAGAAGGAAATATCCTGAAGCCAAGAATGTTCTACTAAGAATACAAGCAACACAGTTATTTATTTAAGAAACTATTTGCCAGGTACGTCTTAAGGTAAGAGTTAGCAGTGAAAATGAAAGGATGACATTTTTTGCTTCTAAAAGGCACACAATCCCCATTGTAGTTAACAAGATTTTTCTTTCTAGCATTACTTTTTTCTCAGTAGATTTAGGGGCTATGTGAGATTTATTATATCTATTTCAGTTAAATACCATATTATTTGTATTCCCTAAAGGGCAAAAAAAAAAAAAAAAGTCTATTTTCCTTCCTTGTCTTAACCAAAATCTACCTATGTCACTTATAAGCATGGGAAATCAAAAGTGGCTTAATAGAAATAATCATGCACCCCTACAACCTTGAAACGATATTCTTTCTGCAGTGTAACTGTGCAGCACAGACAGCTGTATCTGAGAGGATAAGCACGAGCAGCCACACAGTATGAAGATGTGCACTTCAGCTATCCTAGTTCACCAATTGTAGCACTAATTACTGGCAAAGATGAAGACTGTAAAACAGAGCTAGAACCACTGCTGCAAATGTAGCAGCCCTATGTCTGATAAGAAGCTCTCTCACCTATTTAATTTGAAGCTGTAGCTGCTTTCTCAGAGCCCTCTCAGTCTCCTTGGCTGTGGCTGTCACATGAGGAGAAGCCTGAGCTGGTGGAAGGAGAGGTCAGTGGTTAGTACCAGCTCCTTTTTGAGTGCACGCAAGTAGAAAAAGACAGGTCCACAGAATGACGACTGTGTATTTCTGTGGAAATCTCATTGTTTACTATGTTTGTTCCTAATGCAAAAGCTTGCTGAGGATGTTTGAAAAACTAAGTGATAATATGCAATCATTGATTTTAGAGATGGCCTTCAGTATACAAGTACCTCAGGGAAGACTGTGAGGAGGATGGTGCTGGCCTCTTTTCAGTGGTGGCCACCGACAGAACTAGAGGAAACAGCCAGAAACTGAAGCATCAAAAGTTCCACAGGAACTTAAGGCAAATTTCTTAACAGTGAGCGGGCCAGACCACTGGAACAGGTTGCCAAGAGAGGTTGTGGAGTCTCCTTCTCCGGAGATCTTCGAAACCCACTTGGACGCAGTCCTGTGCCACGTGCTCTAGGTGACCCTGCGTGTGCAGGGGGGTTGGACTAGATGACCTCTAGAGCTCCCTTCCAACCTTAAACATTCTATGATTCTATGATCCATTACCCCCTAACTTAGGTTTCAATGGCATCTTTGGTTAAGAAGTTTAGGCTGTCACTCACCTGTGGGGGAACTTCTGGGACTGAGCACATGTGAAAATCAGGCTGTTTGTATGGTATATGGTAGCACATGGAATTAATCTGGTCATCATATACTTTAATCTCCCAGATCTAACTACGCGAATCCCTTATTATGGGGAGATTCACTTAGGTCTGAAAGGCATCCTACAGACATGCAGCACTGGGATAATGTTGAAAACATGACAGTCAGTACTGAAAGCTGCCAAATTGTGAGAAATGTACAGAAGGATGGGGTGAAAGGTGCATGGTGGTGGCAGGAGAGCAGAGTGAACATGTTTGGAAAGGTGCTCTACAGTGAGGACAGTGGTTTGCATGTGCCAGTATGGATGGGGATTTATGTATACGGATGGCAGTGGAGAAAGAGAAGCCAGGATGCATGTGTGCAGTCTGGAGGGGAGGAGACAAGGTGGGGTAGCTAAAAGGGGGAGTGAGAAGCACTGTTCTTCCCCTTTTTCCTTGCCTCTTGACACTTGACACCGATTCCTGCAGGAGTTTACAGCCTTGCTTCTCCCTCCTTCCCTCACAGAGCATTCAGCACAGGGAGGACAACTGCCAGTGAGTCCAAGGCAGCATCCTTCCTCTTCGCAGAGTTTCTTGCCACGGAGCAGCGAGGTAAGGACTCTACTGTCCCCTCTTTGTCCACGGCACCAGATGTCCTTCCCTCAACTAGCTGGAGCTAAGAAGCCCTGCACACACAGCTGTGCTAGGCACTTCTTTGAGAGATGTTCAGAGAGAGTGCAGGGTCATGGCAGGTTTATTCTTGCTACTGAGCTGTCCTTTTGCTACAGGCTGTATCTACCTGGGAATAGTTTGCAGGGAAAGGATAGTGAAACAGAAACGCGACATGACAAACGTGTTCATATCTGAGCAGCCTGTGAGCTCCAGCTGTACGTGGGAGCCCAGGACAAGTAGCTTAGACTTGGTAGGAGAAACAAGTCCTGTCTAAAGGGAGCGTCGGAAAGTGGGCTAAGCGCTCTGTGCCCGCGCACCCCAGGGTCACACAGAACACGCATTCAGGCCTCGACAGCATGCCGGCGACACAACCATTACCATTCTGCTGTAAGACAGCCAAGAATAAGGAACTGTCACGGGGGGCAGAAGGAAGCACTTCTTGAGAATAGTTCTTGAGGGAAGGCAAACAAGGGAAACAAATTCAGGTCTGACTCCATGCTTTCTTCTTCTATCCCAGCCAGCTGTAAGCAAGGCAGTTTAAAAACAGCACCTCTGTGAATGTCTCTCAGGATGCAGCTTCTTCCATGGGCATAGCCCATGCTGCCTGAGAAGCGCACAGCAAGAGAGAACTGAAAATGCTTTTAAAATGTCTCCAGTTTGTCATGTGCTAGACCTACATGCACTATACTTGAAAATCACTCCTAGTATGTCTCTGTTTATTATTTATTAGATATTTCGGAGAAACCATTATCAAAACAGCTCTTTTTTTAGGGACTGTATTTTAAAATACAGTGTATTGCACAACCTGTCAAAGAAGCAAAGCTAACTGATGTTTTATTGTCCTTGTACTGCAAAGTCATGTATTTTATGTATCACTATTTCGTGTTGTTCAGGGAACAAAAAAAATGTTCTTCAGATTCTGGTGGCTTTTGTGGATACTCGGACACCATGAGTTTTTAGCAGCACAAAATCTCAGGGAAGGAAAAAGATATGGATTGAGAAGAGTAAAACCTAAACACATCCTGTCAAACACAGTAGAAAAATACCCCAGCCCAAGTGACCAAGGTGAATATTTCTATTTTAAAATAACTTTACTTTCTTCTTGATTCATATTTCTATTTTAAAATAATAGCTTTACTTTTTTTTTCTTGATTCATTTATTAAGATTCTGGACTACCTGGTCAAATTGAAGATTCTAATAGACACCATTCAAATTTGTCTTGTTTCAGTCTACATTTTCACTTGCCTTATTTTGCACATCTGTCTTTTTCCTCCCTTCCTCTTCTTCCCCTTTTGTGTAATTCAGAAGTGTCTTTTACAACTTTGGGGGTTTTGCTGTTGATTGGTCAACTGTTACTGTCACTGCAAGAATAACAGCCCATATATTGTAGATTAGAAATAATGTTCTCCAGTGAATACAAGGAAAGATCCCTCTCTTGGAAAACTAAATGTCACTAGATGTGTCAGGACCAGGGACAAAATCTAGCTCTGTCAAATCTTCTTCTAGTGTCTTATTCAGTAAAAATCATCTTCTTGTAGATTACTCCCACTTTCACAGTTCCTATCTTGGTAGGATATTCAGTGTAATACCAGGTAAGAAGACAGAATGGCACAAAAATGCCACTGCAACATTCCTTATTTCTTGAAATCATCTCACCTTCAGGACTCTGTTATTACCTGGGGCATCTTCTCTGGAGGAAGTTCTTAAGCCTATACATGTGATGTCTTCAGGAGAGAGTCACACAGATGTTTTCTAAAACTTCAGTCATTCAACTCCCACTTTCGAATCCTAAAATACATACAATGGTAGAATGCATTTTAGTATGAAGTCACTCAACTCACCTAACTGTTTATTCTAGATGATGACTGCATTCTGGAAATTGCTTTTTTACTGGACAGCTCTGAAAGTGCTAAGGACTACAATCATGAACAACAAAAAAAATTTGTATTAGAAACAGTAGACAGAATGAAAAGTCTGCAGCTTAGTTCTGGACGTAGTCTCAGCTGGAGAATGGCCTTACTCCAGTATAGCAGCACTGTTTCCACAGAACAAACTTTCCGGGACTGGAAAGGTCCTGAAGCATTCAAATCCCACATTGCTCCCATCACCTACATAGGTCATGGTACCTATACAACATATGCTATAACTAACCTCACGCAGCTCTACATGACTGAAGGGTCTCCAGGCAGTGTGAAGGTAACTTTACTCTTCACGGACGGAGTAGATCATCCAAGAAACCCAGATATCTTTGCAGCTATAGCAGATGCTAAACATCAAGGAATTGTGTTCTTCACAATGGGAATTACCAGAGTGGCTGAGGAGGCTGGCAATGCTGCCAAGCTCCGGCTCCTGGCCAGTGTCCCAGCATCCAGGTTCGTTTTCAATCTCCAGGACAAAGGAACTGTGCAGAAGGTTCTCAAGGAAATGGTATGTATGGAGTGAGGTTTGGGAACTTCAGAGGAGCATAGGTAAAAAATTGCTTTAATCCCAATACTGCCAAATGTTAGTGCTTTTAAGTGCTGAAGTTCATCATAAAACCACTATGTTAAAGCACAGGTTTCTTTTCTCTCCCTTTTCCACCACACAAATCTTCCCAGCCAAAACACTGAAGCCAGAACAGAATTTAACTCAGATATGTTAATCAGTGAATTATTTTTATCTGTTTATCCCTCTAAGAAAGGTATTTTAAAGCTTCTTAAAAGAATTAGCAATTTTAACACTCTAGTGCTTCCTTCTGTGGAAGTAAGGAATACAACTTTGGCCCCTGTACTAAAAAAAATGCAGCTCTGGCAAAAGTAAAAATAGATTTGTAGACCTTAAAGGACCTATCTATTTAGATCAAGTCTGAACTTGGTCACAGACATCTTTAAATTGCCATAGAAAGTCTGTCACATAACCAGGAAGAAAGGCCTAAGCTGAGCTGGCGTGTGTTTTTTAAGCACATCAACTTGATTTTTTTTTAAAAAAAAAGGACTTAAAAAGCATTAAAAAAACATTTTAAGAAAACATTAAGCAGGAGAAATAGAGCCATCTCCTACCCCAGTGGGATAAGTGGCACAAGTTGTGGATGAAGTCCTGATCTGACCATTGCACAAAGAGAACTAATAGTTCTCATTTTGTTTAGCCTAACAGTATGCATAATACGATCATCTTTTTTTTTTTCCCAGACAGCACTTTGGAAAAAAAATATTGTTCTTGGCTGTATTGTTCCTATCTGTCTGGCTAACTATGTTGTCTTAGGTTTGCTTGCCATTGTAAATGTATCAAATTGTTGTTGGACAGGAAGAGTCAGTGATTTACGTCATCAACAATCTGTAATAGCATTCAAAAAGATTTACATTATTTTTAGAATGGAAAGATTGATATAATTTGTTTTACATAAATTAAAGCTTAATTCATGTTAGCCAGTATTTTAATCCATGACTTTAATTAACTAACTGCTGAAACAAATGATTTTAACATCTTTCACTATTCTTCCTGTAGAGCTGGATCATGACCTTTTGTTTCTTATGCTTTTCAAATATTTGTCTTCACAGGAAGATCTGGCTGAGGAAGAAGTAAGTATTTTGGGAGCAGGGGGTCCAGACCTACTGCTTAACATATTCTCACGGACATAGATTATTCTGTAGAAATACAGAATCATAGAATCATGGAATGCTTAAGGTTGGAAGGGACCTCTAGAGGTCATCTAGTCCAACCCCCCTGCAAACGCAGGGTCACATGGCACAGGACTGCATCCATGCGGGTTTTGAAGATCTCCAGAAATTAAAGATATCAATTCAATATAATTCAAGAAAATCAGTAGCTTAAAGAGTTATTAATATATTCAGTAATATGTTCAATTCAATAGGATTGTCCACAAGTAAAACTGCATGTTGGTGTACTTGCAAGACAGCTTTAATTTGTTAATTATAGATATTGCTAGGGCTAGGCTACGCTGTATCCTGCATGCACCGGAATAAAGTGGAATAAGGGCCCAAAAGGTCTTTCTTACCCCTTTGTTCTGATTATCTTTACAGTGACTAGGAGTGGATGAGTGTTCTACAATCACACAGCATACAATAAATTGACCTTGTGAGGAGTTTAGAAGTAAAAGCATTAATAGGATGCCTGAAATTTCAGGAGGAGGCATGATATAAATTTTGGAGAGTAGGAGGCCACATTCCTGATAAGTGGTAAATTGACGCTAAAAAGATTTCTGTAAAATGTGTAAACATAACCTTCTTCATGATGGTCTTGGAGCAAGCCTCCAGAAAATGAAAAAACAATGCTGATGTTTTCTCTCTCTTCCATTAAAATCTCCTGAACTCTTTTCATTCAAAGTGCCTGCAGGCTGCCATATGTAACTGTGAGAAGGGGGAAAGAGGTCTTCCTGGGCCTGCTGTAAGTAGCTGTCACTTTTTCTTTCCTTTTATTGACAACTGATATACAGTGTAAATCAAGATATATAAACATATGACCATATTTTCATCAAAAATCCATTAACATTTTTATTTTAATAGTAAAGATAAAGAAAAAATTTGTTGTCTAACTGAGCTGGTCCTGCTGTTCGTAGAAGTCCTATTTCAAGATGGTACTTACCATGGTAATTACTTGTATGGCAATTACAAAGATTTAAAAAAATCACAGAAAACAAAAAGCTAAATGCAAAAAAGTATACCCTCTATATTGTCAAATAAACTTATTTGACTGACTGAAGGGATTTTTTTGTTTCCTTGTTTGTTTTGCTATTTCTAGGGCAAAAAGGGTCGCACTGGGGATGACGGACTTCCAGGCCTGAAAGGAGCAAAGGTGATAATACTTTTAAGATTTAGGAAATAAATTCTGTAATTTGTTACTACACAAAGACTACCCTAATAGTGCCCTTTTATGGGCATCTATGAATTTCTGAAATCTACACTGTTTTTGCTGTAGTAAAGATAAAATATCACTTTGCAAAGAACCTTTATATCTGCCATATATTTCATTAGAGAATAAAAAGATGGGGCTAGTATGTTTCTGAGATAAAAAGGGCAACATACCTCTTCCTGATGTTACTGATTTCAATATTGGATTATTTACAGGGGGAGGCAGGTCTTAATGGAATCCCAGGAAGAGATGGAAAAGAGGTAAAAAAAAAAAAAAAAAAAGTTTCCTCTGTTTTGTCAGTCAGCAGTGTTCATATACTTTAAAGAAAAGGCACCATGTTTTTTAAAATAAACAAACAAACTTTATAATAGCAAGAGATTTTTGTTTCAATTCTGGTTTACCAGCTAATGATTAACAATACGAAGAACTGAAAACATTATCATTCCTTAAAGAAAGGGAATAATTCCTACTTGTTTGATCTAAAAAAGACCTCCCTGGTAATACACAGTCAGTCTAAAAAGTATGGAAGATATGATAATCTAAGAACAATACAGTCTGCCTGTCTTTCCAGGGGTCAGTTTTGATTTTTTTCACTTGACAAATAGAGACTTTATCTGCAAGCAGGACATAGCAGTGTGTTTCCTCATCAGAAGCAAAGTTTATAACCCCATCCTGAACTTCAGAATCCAATGTGTAATAGTAAAGACACTGTTGAGTGTGACATATAGGAGATAAGTGCAGAATTAGTCTCCAAGAGCCTGATTCTGGATTATTTTGTATATTAATAATTTTACTCCGTTTTTTTTATTCATTCAATATATCCTTTTCAGTCACTACATCCTTTTTAGTTAGTCAGCCATCCTTTTTTTCCTGGCACCTTATTTTAGTACACTTCCCACTAAGACACAGATATTAATAGTAGCTGATCTGTTTTACATAATCAAGATCCCAGTCTAAAATGATACTTATGTAAGATCTGTTTGCACATATAACAGCATTTATCGTGACCAGTAGCTGTAATATTTATGGTCAAAGTGCCACGTTGATCGGATTCCATTTTTCTACCTAACTGTTCATTAGAACCTAAAATGTTGTTTTTTCTAAAGTGAGTATGGAGTTATATCTTGTTTAATAGGGTCAGTTTTCACATACTTTAATCAGGGTAATTTATCCTTACAATCCCTTTCCTTTTTTTTTTTTTATTTTTCCAGGGGAAATCTGGATATAAAGGAGAGAAGGTACTACTTTTAGCCAAAATTTCTGCTTACATATTGATAATTTATGTTGTTATTATTATGTATAGTGCTATACATCTAGTGAATGTTAGTGATAAACTAGAACATCATCTTACCAGGTGCTCTAACTGAAGATAGATCCCGTTCCGAATGAACTTACAACACCATTGCTACAGTACATCCTTTAGGTCATATCTTTCAACGAAAGCACGTAATGAAATAGTCAATATATCTCATGAATATTTATTACTCTTTCTTTTAAGGGTGAAAGAGGTGAATGTGGAATCCCAGGCATAAAAGGAGACAGAGTAAGTAAAACTTTCAGGAAGAAAAAAGTTTCGGGAAACTACTTAAAATACAGAAAAAATACACTTACCTGAATAATAACCACAGTGATTGATTTAAGGTGAATATTATTTCTCAGGCTGGAGGAGATAACAGCTCACAGTTTTAAAGAATGAAGTGAGCAAGGATACTATACCTCAGCTCCTTCTATATTTTAGTGAGATTTCTCTTGGGCTTAAGCCTATTTACAACGTCAAAACTCTAGCTGACTTTATTAGAAGAAGTCTCTAAATAGTGACCTCCATTCATTTTTACTTTACATTTTGATTGCCACAGTCCATTTTAGAAATATTTACTTGACGTTTGGTATGCTTCTGTATTTTTTTCATTTTATTTTAATATAAAATAACTGAATTATATCACATAGTAAAAAGATATTAGAAGTTTGACCATATGTAATATACCTACAGGTACTTTTTCCCCCCCACTCCCACCACTTCCCTTTCAGGGTCCTGAAGGTCCAGCTGGTCCCCAAGGAACAACAGGGCTGCAGGTAAAAACAAAACAAACAAACAAACCCTACAACCATATCTGGTTTCCTGGGGTTTAAAGCTCAGAAATTGTATCAGATCACAACTTTCATATAGCTCTTAAGCCACTGAGTTGGAGGCATCCAATACATACCTTCCTAAACCACAACTTTAACAAGAATTTGGAGTCTGGACAATTAAATCCTTCTTATAGTTCATTCAGTCACAATCACTGCAGCAAATACAGTTAATTTAAAAACAAAATCATTAATTTGCTATTCATAGTGTTTAACTATCTTCTTTTCTTATCTCACAGTAGTAGTACCCAGAAGTACTTTACTCTCTTTTCATCCCAATGCTCTGATTGGAGAACAAAAAGCCTAGCCCCTCAAAGATTGGGAAATCTTTGACTGTACATTTTCTCTATTCAAATAAAGGGAGAACCAAATTATCTTCCATTATGATCAAACCTAGCTTCAGATGAAGATGAATAACTAAATCTATATAGCCATCTGAAAGCAGAGTTTGAATAATGTTTAGAAGTGTTTTTAGAGATACATTTTCAAGTGCTATTTTCTTGAAGCTTAAAGAGGTTTTAATGAGACCTTTTCTGTTTAAATAGGGTCCACAAGGACAACCTGGAGAAACAGGGCCAGAAGGCCTACAAGGATCAAAGGCAAGAACTGCATGATTTCTCTTCCCTTTTAATGTTAAAAAGCATAAGTACAGCTTACCAACCTTTTTTTTTTTTTTAATACCTTTCTCTTAGAGGATGTAGTTAAATGTTAGATTTCTAGGAAATCATAGGCTCTTCATATCCTAAGAGATTTCTAAGAAAGTTATTCTTACTCTTAGTATTTGGATTCAGGTCCAGATCTTACTCCATTCTTCTTTCATAAACACTTAAAATATGGCAGCATCATATTTTAAGTGATGATCAGATTATTTATCTATTTGTTCAGTTTCCAATTTATTTATTTTTTTCCCAAAGTGCCAGGCAAAAATTCTGCCTGGGATCTCAACCTTTTCTCTTGAAATCACACATTATCTCTAAAAATCCTAGGGCTGCACATCAGTAGTTCCACTATTTACTCAAGCCAAAGATATCTAAATGCCACCTAAAGGAATGAAATTTAGGACACAGTCTTGCAAGGGGCCTTCTGCGATATCTATGGAAATCACCCAGTGCTTTTTTACGAGCTCATGTCTCCTTTAAAAAGGAGGAAGGTGAGGGAGGAGGAGGTCAGTAAAACATATGATTTACATTTATTAAATCCTTACTTTTTGATGGATTTACTTCTCATTTACACCATTAAAAATTCCAGGAAACCAATGCAGATGACTTGATTCTGTGTGTGCACAAGTTTCCATGCTGCCTTCTCCCTATAGCACTAGCTTAACAGGAAGTGCAGACATCATTGGTTATACTGTGTATTTTAGATAACTATGGGAACTTCGTTGAGAGAACACAATTATACTTTGCTTCTGGGGAAAAAAAATAAACTGAATAATTCATATAAGGCTAATGGGTTCTTCAGCTACCAAAAGGAGTATTCTGCTGAGAAACAGGCTACAGCAGTTGTAAAAGCCTGTTATGTCTGACATGAAACAATATTTTTTTCTTTTGTACCTGGTATCACTTTGTATGGCAAATATCAGTGCTCTAAAAGGGAATTTTAAACCAATGAAAAAGGCCACAGATTAAGTGTTTTGTAAGACAATTCCGGTGGCCTAAAATATTCAGCCTATATAGAAAATGAGTTTCAAAATCTATTCTTGTTCAACAAAATGACTTAAATTGTTTTTTTCCTAAACATCAGTTTACAAGCAGATTTGTTTCTTTTCTTATTTTTTGGAAAGGGTGAAAGAGGTCTCCCTGGGCCACCTGGCTTGCCTGGAGAGACTGGAATAGGAGTGCCAGGTCCAAAGGTATAAGCAGCTGTCATCTTCTATATTACATGTATTTTAGGATAAGAGCAAAAACTGAGGCAGCTGAGATATACTTGATGGGACATGAGAAACTTAAAGACTCAAAATGCTATTTTTATGAAATTTGATAGGTCCTTTGGATTTTGGTCAAACTTTAAAAAGTACATTTTAAAATATGTACTTTAAAGCTATTTTTTTTACCATAGTTTTTATAGTTGGTATAACTCAATCCAAGGGGTGTGGCTAGATATACACAGTCTTAAACAAAAAATGCCCCATGAAAAAGGGGTTTGTTGGCTTGGATTACTGGCATAAAGAAAACAAATGCATTTCTTTTCTGGGAAATGCTGATTTCTTGGAAGAGGGCAATAACTAGAATATTGGGTACTTGACAGTAATTAACCCTTTAAATTCAGCATTATGCTACCTCAAAAAGAGAAATGATGCTGTCCTTAATGCTATGAAACAGCACCCATCTGCTGGGTCTTGTGAGCTGCATGGGTCTGAGAATACTAAGATTTTCTCTGCCCTTTCTGTATTCTCATACATTAGGTATTTAAAATAAAGGATGTTTGATGCATTGTTACGTGCTGCACACATACAGAAACCTAAATCAGGATTTTTCAAAACACATCTTTGTTTGAAGGGCGACACCGGCTTGACAGGAAGACCAGGCCCTGCTGGCCCACCAGGAGTTGGTGAGCCAGGACTTGTGGTATGTCATTTTGTTAATCAGTTAAGGAAAAGGTGGTCAGAAAGAAAAAACTCCAAATTTTCCCTGCTAAAACAGGACATGTGTGACTTAAACAATACTATCTCTTTTCAATCCTTCCACTAATTCTGCCTTTCTTATATACAAAGTAATCTGTTTGCCATTTTGTTTACCAAATATGGAATGCTTCCAAAGGCTTTGAAGTATCTTAGTCTACAGGTTTCCTATGAAAACTGGCATCTATTGCAAAATCCAATAAATATATAAACAAATGGTTCCTTGATATATTAAAAAACACAACTTCTAACTTCTTAGTTGACTGCTTTTCAGTACCCTTAGAGCATTTGCATGAGCATGCATTTGAGGAAGAGATTGCATTTCAACCATTGCAGCATTATGAACAGCTATAGCTAAAGAACTCCCCTGGAGACATTCAGGTTGTGTAAGAGGCACCAGAATTTGAACAGTATTACCATCCTCCTCCTGACACTTACTCAACATATTAGAGAGAATTTGGAAAACCAGTATGCCAATATTACTGTTCCTTTTTTTCAAAGTGCTAGTCAGCACCTTTTTGCAAGTTACTTACAGTACAGCAGACTGAATTCTCTTCAGTTGATCAAGAGAGCCCTACAGCAACTATAATGGGAATTATTTCCATTTTCTTTCATTTTTACAGATAGCCTTTCACTATCAGCAAGAAAAATATATATATAATACCAGATATTATATATATATATGATATATAATAAATCAAAAAGGTTCTTTCATAAAAAAGATATTTCATGAGAGAAGCGACTCATCTTAATCCGGTTTAAAAATACCCTACTAGAGGGGAAGGAGCTCTTCTTTTCGAAGGAGTTCTAAAGAGATCATCACTGCTAATTAGATCAGTGATGACAGCCATTCAGAATGGGGCAGTGGTGCTTCCTGAGTCTCTTGAGTAACAGCACAGACAAGAATTAAGTGCAGATAGCTTTATCTAAGTATATAGTATTTTTCTAAAGCTGTGCACAGGACCATTTTCAAGCATACTTAGGCTATACAGAATGAAACCTGCTGCCATTCTGCGATTTATCAATTAGAGTCAAATCTCTCTACAGCTAGATTTGCTTCCATCTGCTCTGTGTGGCCCTTAATCTCCCTCTCTTTGTCTCTCATGGTTATACTGATATATTGGTAAGGGTTAGTAACAATTTGTAAACCAAAGAACAGTCTAGGACGTGAAGATTTAAAACATATAAAGTATGTTAAACTATATAATCTGCGATTCATAAGTAACCAGAAAAGTAATCTTGTATGCCTTGTTATAGCTGCAGGCCAGAATGCTCTTCACTGATTCTATGTGAATATCATATTACTGTGTTATTTTTAACAGTTTATAACTACACACCTCAAAGACCTGCTTTAAACCAACAATGACACAGAACACATTGCTTTGATTTGCATGATTAATATATATTCTAGGCCATTTTAAACTTATGTCAACAGGGGCCTCAAGGACCACAAGGTATTCAAGGAGAAAGAGGTTTACCAGGAGAAGGGCTTCCAGGAGCAAAGGTACAGCAACAGAAGGGACCTAAGACCAGAGGGTCACCATTAAATGAGTGCGTACCAAAACAAGTCCATAACACACAAGTGAATCTGAGAAATTACTTTATAAAGTAACACTAAAATTTATAACTAATTAATCCAGTATAATATCATGGAAATCATGTTCAAACATGACCTCTAGGCACAGCTACCCCTTCAGTGCCTGTAAAGCCAGTATTTAATTCCTTTGACATTCGACTTGCAAGACATAAGCCAGGAAAGAATTCCAGATTTAGTTTCACAATAGCCTCAAGCATCTAACTTTACATAAACAATTACAAAAGTGATCCTTCTGGTGAATAAAAGAGGCTTTTTTGTTGTTGTTTTCTAAATGCTTTTATGCAGGTATCTTTGATCTTTTTTTTTGAAGACAGTCTTCCAAGCTTCATAAATATCTTGGCCATTAGTTTATGCAGTTTAGCACAAGTCTGAATTCAGTGTGTGGGAAAAGGAAGTTGCTGTTTCTAATTTCCAAACACAGTGGAAAGAAATGAATGTAGCACTCATAACTAGTTGAAAGGATCCACTTGCTCTTTTTGCCGCCACTGAAAACCAACTCCTAAACTGAGCTCTGACTTTGACCTTTGGTTACAGTAACAAAACAACACAATATGTACATAAGCTAAACCGATAACTGACACAATCTAGACAAGGATTCAGAAGAGTTTCCTAACTTCTACTGTCTGCCCTGAAATAGATTCTCTCCGTGGCCTTCTATGTAGCTTTTTCTTGATTATCACAGTTTCAAATGGAACTTAAGAATTAACTCCCTCACTGGGAACTCCCCAGGGTAAGTGGTTACTATTTTAAAAAAATCATCTTATAGTAGTAAAAATCACTATATTGCACAAAATCCTCCTATCTGGCTTCTTAATATCCACACCTTGCCTGCATGTGGTGAATTCTTCCATTTTAACAGAGCTTTAAAAATGTTACCAGGCATACAGTCCCAGGCAGAGAGCTGGCTTATGGGGAGACAAAATTGCTAGAGTTCCTCTCTCCCACATATCTGTGCAATGAATGCATTCATTTTTATACATACAAGGCATTTTATATATATCAAGCCAATTTGGGTTGGAAAAGCAATAAAAAATATTCACAAATGAAGTAATCAGCAATCCCTTTACTAAAAATAATAGATTTTTGCTTTTCAAAATACTGCAGTGAGATGGGTTTAAATTCAAGTGCTGCAAGCAACACGATCACTTGAAGCAATCAGCATATGTTTTAGGAATGCAAGTTATCTAACATAACTGTTGATCGTTTGTATTTGCATAAGACATTTTATCCCTAAAAACAGAACAAAGGATTTAAACAAGCTAAATTTAGAAATAACTCCTCCACCACTGAAATCCCAATACATGTGGAAAGAAACATGACAGCTAGTAACGCACAGCAACACTGCACAGTGGGATCACGTATGGAAGAATATATAATTTAACTTAAAATATTGAGCAGTTGAGATAGGTAACATAAATTAATCAAAGTGGAATTCTGCCAGCAGCATTCAAACATTTGATTCTACAAAAAAAAAAAAAAAAAAGGGACTACTTTTTACAGCCAAATGTGATCTGAGGGCAAACATGTATCAACAGAGTCTATAAATACATACATCTAATTCTATAAATGGCTGCCAAGTATGTCAGCTCTCTCACATATTTAAGAAAGTGACTTGTTAATTTAAAGCAAATTGTACAGTTGCTTTCTTTTAGTACAGTGTGTTTTCTTTTGCTAGAAGCTCAGCAAAAAGAAAGCAGATATTCTACAGCATCAGGAGTAAGAAATGCTATTTTAAACAGAAAGCCATATGATATATCCCAGTCAAATGTAAAATGAGGGAATTGGATACCAAGGAGATAAAATCCATCTGGATCGTAGCTTTATTGAGTTGAGTGTCTTTGACAACTTACACAAGTGAACTGTCTCTACATGTTTTGCCAACAGCAATACAAGAAAGGCCAATTATTTTTTTCCTTATCAGTAATCTGTGTTTTCCCCAAGACCACTGTTTTTTTCAAAAAATATTTAGAAAGACAGTGACATTTACAAATACACTTTACAACAGATTAGTTTGGCCCAGGCTTTATTCTGGTAAAGCCAGATCCTGATCCCCGTATGAGATTAAACTATCAGACTACTGAGAGAAGTCAGCTCTGCTGACACTCCTTGGTATTCTGAAAAATAGATCCAGGCACTACTTTCCTGTTTTTATGGTTTTGGTTGTCTTCGTGACAAAGCAAAAAGTCTCTGTAGTTGCTTCAGAGCAATCAGTTATGTTTTTACATGATTAATGCCGTATTATTTTTTCATGTAGGGAGAGCGTGGTTTTGATGGGCCAAAAGGCCCTCGTGGACTTCCAGGCATCAGCATAAAAGGTGAAAAGGTGAGTAATAAATATGTCAGAGAACGAACAATGTGCCAATAAATCTCATACATACAAGGGTGGATATTGACTACAAAAGATGTAATGAAACAAGGCACCCACAATAGATCCAAGACAATGCTGTGTTTTGTGAAGACATTTATAGCTCATAAACTGTTCAACCTGTTCTCTTCATATTAAAACGGAAAATGTTGCAAAAAGCAACTGATTCTATGGGAAAGATAAGGTTTAGATGGAAAAAAAAAAAGAGACTGGCAGTTGTCTGCAACAACTGAACCACCAGGAAATAAATACATAAACAATAAATATAAGGCCAGATCATCTACTGACTTCAAGAGAGATTAAGTCAACATATACTAATATAGGAGCTGTTCCAGATTGTTTATGTACCTTTAGACAACTAGGCAGTTATGTTTTGTTTACCAGGGTGAATTTGGCCTTCCTGGTTTACCTGGGCCAATTGGACTACCTGGCATTGGAATTCAAGGAGAGAAGGTAAAGTTTTGATTTCCCCCCAGCAAAGTGTGTAATAATGGAGAGTATTTTAGTTTCAATAATCAGTCAAATTATCATTTCAGGGATTGGAAGGCCCAAAAGGATCTCCTGGTTCCAGAGGACTACCGGGACAGGGACTTCCTGGACCAAAGGTTAGGGAATTTTCTGAAGTAAGAGCTACCATTCTGCATTTACTGCCATGTTTCCTGGTTAAGAAATCATTTGTCTCATGATCATACTTGTTAAAGAGATGAAGACCAATCTAAATAATGCCTTAGCTGCTTTACTTCCTTCATGAGTGTTATTAAATTCCTATTATTAAGATTCTACTCCAATAAAAACCCTTGATAAACCTATGCTACAGCCATCTATTTAGGTTTTGGCTTGACTCACCACAGAACCTCTAGGGGCTGGATATGAGCCAGTGAACAGATTACTTTGAAATGTTGCCACAGCAAGGGGTGTCTGCTTCGGGCTTGCAGCTTCCTCAAATCAGGTGCAGGCCCAAGGAATGAATTTCACTTCACCCACAAGAAGTATTTGTGTTTGGCAAAGCAGAGTACCAAAATTTCAAGGACAACTTTTATCATCACTGCACTGTTTCTATTTCAGAAAAATATATACATAGCTTACAGACTGTCTGGATTCCTTCTCCTACTGCCTATTGCCTTATCTGATTTTGCATATGTTGTGAATCTCACAGTTAACAACAGTCCAAGGTATTAACTAAGATTACCTTTGCTGAAGGAAAACTATCAGAATAATTTATCCTCGACAGGTTTGCACAAGACAGAACTGTTAGTGAAAGGGGTCACCCTTCAAGTGTTTAGGATGGAGATTTAAAATGATTTTCTGAAAAAAAGGTGTCAGATAAAGCTTTGAATGCATGAAAGTTACTAAAGAATAGTAAAGGAAGCTAGAGGTATAAGTGGATTAAAGATCCTAGTACAAAGAAAGCAGAGGACAAACTGTCTATGGATGTTAAATATGCTGTTGAAATGCCAGCTACTTTGGTGAGAAACATTCATGGGAACATATTAATTGGAGATTTACAGCATTAGTCATTGCTACCAACAATTTTTTGGTGATAGCTCAAAATATGCGAAGGGAGGGACCTGGAGATTTTCGACCTTCATTACACGGTGCTCAACCCATCACATTTAAGACAATTATCACACTAAATAATCTTCTTTTAACTGTAGGCAATCTTTCATATCCTTTCTGTGAGAAAGCTCTTTAAACTTTATTTTTCTACTTAAGGGCGAACAAGGCTTGCCAGGAGAGACTGGTGTACCAGGAGAAAGAGGTATTGGAGAACCTGGTTCTAAGGTACATTGTTGATAGAGGTATTATTATTTATTTAAACTTCAGGTTTTTTTGAATAGTCTTTCTGTAGGCAGTTAAATAGGTTTACAAATAGACTTTAGACTCCTTGGTCTTTAAAATTTTCAACATGGACTCTGAGTAATCTCCAGAAATAGAATCATTTAAAATAACCAACTCCATAGAAAGTCTGCAAGATTATCATGATGGAATCTTTTGGTACAGCTGCCCCATGGTCAGGTCAGTATTGCAAACAGCTCATCTACAAGTCTATCCACACAATCGTCCAGAATATTAAACAGCTGTCAGAAGTGGCAATCCTGAGCACAAGCTAAACTATAACGAGAGCTGACGAGGAAAAAAAAAGCACTGAACAACAGTAATTGTGCTGCTCCTTCCTTTTTTGCACAGAAGCACAGGGCATAAACAGAGCCACAGCTACTCTCTCACACCTTGGCAAGGTAAGCAAGCTGTGCTACTAAACAGAAAGCAGCACACTTGCTTGGAGTAAGCAGGAAACTGTAACCAGATTATGTTTGTGCTAAAGGGATCAAGATGTCAAACAGTTCCTGTGTCATTAACAGCCATATTAACATAAAATATGATAATGGCTCAAAATAAACTTTCATGTTTAGGGATTTGAGAAAGGGATTGAAAGAAGAAAGAAATTATTTAGTTTATTTAATTTCACAAAACATAGTAATGCTGAGTGAACCCATTGGACCTCCAATGATCCCATTTAAACTAAAACCAAATCAAGGTCTTGAGCTTTATGTAAGTAAGATGAGGTTAATTCTACTACTTAGTGGATTTACTCTGATTTTTCACCAGCAGAATGTGAATCATCTTGTTGCAGTCAGCTATATCTTGTATATACTATAGATGTTGCTACTTAATAAAATGATAGCATGCAATATTAATTGCATAGATAAAATGCACAGTTCCAACAATAATAGACTGGGAAATTCCAGGTCATCTCTCTTTCCATTTCTGTGTGACACATGGGAATTATTGTCTTTATATAAAAGCTGCAAGATTTGGGCTCATATTCTTAAATTTTTGCCATAAATATACATATAAAATTTAGCAGCTCTTTAAAAATAGATTTTCTTGATTCAAAGCAAGAACAATACCAAATATGTATTTAATAGAAGGACTTACTTTTTATTGATGCCAGGGTGAGCCAGGCCTTTCAGGACTCGCAGGTCTGCCTGGTCTTCCTGGAGAAGATGGAGCCCCTGGACAAAAGGTTTGTCCATCTCTCTCTGCAGACTGCCTCTTTCTCCCTGAGCATTCCTCAGCTCACCCACTGCTGACATCTAAACCAAGAAGAGAGGGTTTTCATGGATACAGGGAAAAGGAGCATGGATATTTATTAAAAAACTATTCTTTTGGCGAGTGTTTTTTTTTTTTTTTTTAAAGGAGAGTGGTTGTCTCTTATCCTGATCACAGTCATTACTGTTTTTGTTTGTTAATCCTCCAAATTCCCTGTAACTCAGTAGGATGATCATGAAAATGACTACAAGCAACTTTTCATAGCCTTAGACCTTGGTGATCTTCTAGTACCAGAAAGCCCATATATTTAAAGATTCTCAAAGTGTTCGGTGAGCTCTTAGGGAACATGCTACTATATTTAAAGATCATATATTCAGTGCTCAGTGAGCACTTGGGGAACATGCTAACTCCATGCTTTCCGCCCCACGTTTACAGTGATTATTTCTGAATACTGAAAGAAAAATGTGGGCCCTCTAATGTCAACGGTCCCAATATCAATGGAGTTTTGCCATTAATTTAGAAAAGTCTGTGATTTTAATGACTGTATTCAATTGAATGCAGAGTTTATCTTGCACGATGTCTCTAAAACCCTCTGAAGTGCTGCTTTAACTTTTCCATTACAGGGTGAACCAGGACTGCCAGGTCTCAGAGGTCCTGAAGGTGCTCCAGGGACTGGAATACAGGGGGAGAAGGTGAGAATTGTTTTTTTACTAAAGCTAAAATTGGAAATTGTAATGCTTCAGGAATAGCTTTGTCAAGATTTTCACCTTTTTTTTTGGGGGGGTGGAGGGACGACAAATATAATATTGAAAAAATAGACTTTGAAGAACAGGCTAAAGAGGATTTCTAAAAGTGAATTATTGCAGTTTCTATCAATCTCAGCCTAAAACAGCAACAATAACTTTTCTAATAATAATTAAAAAAAAAAAAAACTATCCAGGACATCCTACTCAGAAATGCTAGAAACAGACAGCATAACAGTCCCATGGTTCACAATTCCCAGTACCTGTGACAGTGTTTTGTCCCAGCAATCCAAAAAGAGTTATTGATTTTTTGCTGGGACACTTGATCTGACTGAAGGAAGGAAAATCAAAGCATCCATCTGTTTTAAAATTACCTTGTAGAGAATAGATGCAGATAACGTTGCAGGAAATAAATAAAAAAAAATACTGTACTGGAACTCTTGCAGAGTGATTCTGGACTCACATATTTCATTTTTGTTGTAATGATTACAGCACAATAATGTACTTAATTAGCAGTTATCTCTTTACAAACTTTATATTATATATGCTTAGCCTGTTTTACCTGGAAATCTAAGCTGATCAATCAGACAGAATATTGTCATCAGTTGAGTGACCCTGTTTCTAATATATCTGGCTTTGAATACAGAAGACTACCTTTGAGTGAACTTTTTTACTGCTTTTAAATAATATCTATTTTGTGTTAACAACTTGATTCTTCAGCTGCAAAGAAGCAATCAACTCCTTTTGTGTATTGTTTTTTTCATAATATTAATTGTTAAGTCACTTAAATTTGAGCTATCTAGTTGTAAGTGTGCAAATTCAAAACTGGACAAGTACAAGTGTATGACACGTCTTCTCCATTTTGGCAGGGAGATCCAGGTCAGAGAGGAATACGTG